CCCCCCATTTGCAAACAAAATGCTCCGGACAGCCTTCCTTCGATACACGGCGGTGACATTTTTGTATCGTAGGCATGGATGGCTTTCCGCTCACAGCACTGGGAAGGTCTGACGCCGCCCGACCTGGAGACAAATTTGTTTGCGTTCTTCCTGATTTTTTTTGGTCCACTAGGTGCGCTCCTCCCCAAGGTGGGAGGCCATTAGCGATGACATCGATGCGATGGTCATCCTGCTGAGCAACAACTAAGTTCAAGTCACGCAGAGAGGCAACTGCAAGCGCGGGTAGCGCTGCACCAGCACGCGGAAGGAACCCAAGTCGAGCCGGAGATGGGGACAGGCAGGGAACGCCGTTAGAATCCTTGAAGCGAACGGGCCTGATGGAGTCTCATGGCCCGGGACAAGGCATCCAGGCATTGTGCGAGGGATGCGGGCGGCCGGTCTGTCAACGGCTTGGGAGGGAAGCTAGCCGTTCCTCCACGTGCACAGGAGCCAAAATGAGATCCAGTTGCACAATAGCACCATCAGCTGAGCGGATGCATGTCCAAGCGTTTTGTTGACAGTCAGGTCCATCCCTCATGCGGCTCAAGAATTGCAAGCAATACCCACGGCTCACCGCACGAGCATGTCACCTTGATATTGATAACGGTCAAATCATTATTACAACTATCGTACTTGTCGCAATCATTACAGCAATAAGAAAATTCATCAAAACACGAACCGCACCATAAAATGGCACGGTTTGCAAACAGGCGGGGGGGAGTTCGGCGGGCCGCCATTTGCAACACAAGACTCGTAGGCCAGGTTTTCAAAGGATTCATATGGGTCTTGCAGCAATTCCTGTCGGATTGCACGCCAAAATGAAAAGGACCGGGGACGGGGAAGGCGAACCGATGTTTGCAAACACTAGAGCAAATCTTGAAAAGATTCTTCTGGGCCATCCTCCTTCTCTCCTTCCTTCCTTGCTTCCCTCGCACGAGAAAATACCAAAAAACTGGAAGGGTAACAAAAAAAAGGTGAATACATATGCCCTCCAAATTGATTCGCGTCTTTTTCTGACTCGTTCTTTCGCTCTGCAACTCCTTCTTTCTCATTTCACGAAAGCACCAGTCCTGCATTGGGATGTATAGGGCATGGATAGAACCAGGACATAAATTGTTTATGTTTTTGTTCAAGTTTTGTTTGATCGCCATGTAATCTTGTTTGCTGATGTGACGCTGTGGGGCCCCCATTTTTGCGTAGGCTGGATTTTTCAAGTTTTTATGCATTGCAATGCGTCCTGATAAGTTCCTCGCAATGAGTGTGACGATGAGGATAGGGGGATAAGGAGGCACATGAGGTTCAGCAAGGGCATGGGCAATCAGGAGCCTCCTGATAGGGGAGGAGAAGGGGTTAGGGAGGTAGAGTGAAGGGATAAGCATGTGCTTCCTTGCGAACTTGTCAACATGGCGATGATAAATAATGACAAAACAAGAAGCAATATTTGTAAGCCTGAAACAGAACGAACAGTGCGTATTTTTGAGCCGACACCGGTTTGGGGTCACGCACCGACAGGAGTGTTGAGTGAGACGGTGGCGCCAGACTCTTTGCAGACGCACACTGCTGCACGCTCGACCAGACTACTTCTCTACATACTCAACTTCAGCATCTGCCAAGGAGAACGAGTTGGTGAACATGAGTACAAAGAATATTCAGCAACAGCTGTTGTGAGGTGGTTGGAAAGAGGTTTCAAAAACGTGTTTTTCACCGCAGCACTTCTAGAACTAGCACACAGGAGTCAAGAAATGCCACGTATCTCACGCAAGCAGGAAACAAGCGTTGGAGGAGTAGCAATGGCAGCAGGAGCATCAGCAATGACTAGCCGACTGTTTTTGCGCCGGGGTGGGGGCTAAGGTTTACGCACTGCCATCACGGGCTTCCTGCCTGTGCACCAGATGCTGCCAGCAATAACATCGCTCATGCCCATGGCCCCTCCTCTCACACGAATCTGGCCCGTGCCCGAGATTGGGCCGCTACATCGCTGGCAGTCTTCGTACGAAGTGGGGACTCACGGGCTTTGCAAGACGTGCTTCCCGTGATCTTGCTGTTCGAAAATGCGGCCGCTGTTGCCCGCAGGCTCAGCCGCCCTGCTGCACCTGACACGGATGGTCTGCCATGTTTCCAGGTGAAGGTAATGCGGAAAACCCTTCCGCACACGGCTGAAGCGGGCACGTTGTTGTGCTCTGCCCCTAACACAGTCGCAGAACTTGTTTCCAGCGATGAGGATGATGCGGACCCTCTTGCACGGGCACGCGTTATGTGGCAACAAGAGCCCGGGGTCGAGGAAGCGGGGGACGTGGCCACGTCGCTACAGCGCCAACTCAGGAACCGTTGGCAGGCCAGGCGTTGACTTCCTTTGATGGGCCGCTCAAACCGCGAGCAATTGGACACGTTGCAGCAGCTGAGACAGAACTCCAAACAGGGCTGATTGCACTTGATGCCGTCTTGCTTGAGGACCACTGCAGTCAGCGGGCGCCTCTGAATTACAACAGGGCACCACAGCCAGCACTTCTGGACGTTTGGCCCTGCACAGCGCTAAAAGGAGGACCCTTCTGCCGCACAGTTGGAGGTTTGAGTTTGAAGGATGGATTCTCGACTGGCGCAGGGGAGACGTGTTGCGCGCATGCGAAACTAAGACTGCCACGGCTTGGAACAGCAAGACTAACTTAAAGAACCTTCTCCGAGGTGGGGCGACCTAAACTAATGCTGGTTGATGTAGGCTTGCCCCCGCGTCTTCGCAGTGCCTCATGCTTGCTCTCACGCTGCGTGGTTTTCACGATGCCCAATGGCTAGGAGGAAGGCCCGTGCTCCTTGAAGGACTGCTGCCACAGTTGCTGTGTGGGGGACACTGCACCGCTCCGTGCAACCGCAGGTGCTAGCGACAGTTCGTGCGAAGTTTTGGTCCAATGCTGCGTGAAGATCCGGCCTTGGCGCAGTGAATGTATATACTCAGGTCAAGCCTGCTCGAACGATCGAAGGCAAAACCATCAAGATGGAGATGAACGATGCCAACATCAGGAATTCAGCAGGAAACCGCTGGCTGGATTGAGAACACAAACTAGCATTGCGCTTCAGCTGACAAGCTTTGGAAGTGCTCTTCGCAACTTCCGCGGCAAGCCAGCCAGCAACATCAAACTGAGCTTCAGAATTCCGAAGCACATGCGCCGAAAACTGCGAACGGCACAGCCCCAAAAACGAGGGTCAAGGCTCTCCGTGACAGGACGGCGGGGCGATTCCAGTCAACAGGGAAGCATGACAGGTGATCAGCCACATTCCAGCTGACCGCAAGCATCAAATAGAACACCACGTCCATCATGTACAGTCAACCTTCATACCATCCGCGAATCCACAGACTAGGAAGGGTTCTTCATTCTTTTGTCTCCAAGCCTCTCAGCTGACTTGAGTACAGTCACCGAATTGGCAGCACTTGCAGCCTGTGGTAATAGATAACAAAAACTCATGCCTATCCGCCTATCCATGGTGAAAGGAGCCATGCTGCCTTGATCCATGCAGGCCCCTTCTGGGGCAAAGACAGTCTGTCTCTGTCTGAGCATAAAGGTGGGACCAGGAGGAACTTGTCCTCGGCCCTCTGTTAATTATATTGCATGTACAAGCCGTTGGGACTTTTTGCGCTAAGCTTACAATGACTTACAATAATAAAGGTGATGTGCCCACTAATTTAATATAGTGAGATGCACTGAGAGTGTGAGTCATGGTAGAGCGTGCTGTGGGAGCGGACGTCACAGCTTTCCCCGCTCTGTCTGCCTGCACCTGAAATCTTCCCGCGAAGAAGGCAAACTTCTCAATTGAGTTTTTGCACTTCAGAGTCTCGCCTCGTGTGACCAGGCCATGGCCTCAAAGAACGTTCTTCTCTGTTCTTCCGCGCTTCGAGAACACGTGCCCCTCTCAGTGTGAGGCAGAGGCTGTAGTGCCTTGGACAGGTATTCAAGTTCTGTGGCTTCAGCCAGGAAACTCAAGGAACGGAAAAGCATCTTCGACAACTTAGCTGAAAGCCTGCGAGCCCTCGCCCTCCGAAGTAGCCTGTATGCTGGAAACTAGTGCCCATCTGATCTCAAAACTGTTGATGTCTGCAATGTCAAAGGATAGAGCGACTTCGCAAGCAACCATTGTAGAGGTCAGGCCGTCATGGGCCCAATCATAGCTGTGCCAGTAGCAGCAGTAGTCCTGGCCTGGGATGCATGGCCCAAGCCATCCGGTGCAGTAGCCTTGCGGCATGCTTTGTGTGCAGGGCCTGTGGCAAGCCTGTGCCACATCATTGCCGAGCTGTGCCGAGGTAGGGTCCAGGTGGCTCCATGCCATGCGCTTTTGCGACATTGACCGCGTTCTTGCATTTGCCTTGCGTCGCAGTCAGTGTTGTACAGGAGAGGCATCGGGCTGCCATGCCTCTGGCGGATCGTCCTGCAAGTGATATTATGAGACTCCCTAGTGGGACTGCAATTTGCAAAGCATTTCTCCTCAGCATCCACCTGCACAAAACTGTGTTTGACCCTGCGACCATGCTCAACGTAATCACGAATTCAATGATTGGCCTGCAGCCTGCGCTGCTCCCTCAGGTCAGGCCTTGGAGGTAAAACAAACGACACCATGAGGGAGTTTGGGGCTTCTTTTTGGGGTTTCTTATTGAAGGCAGAATAATCAGAAGCGCGGAGGGCAGCAGCGGTCGCAGCAGCGCCGCTCCCTTCTTGCAAACTTGTTGACAATCCATCAAACTTCTGAATCATAAATGTCATCACAAGGTACTTGTCGTCTCTATCTGGAAAAAAGGAACTTGAACTGAAGCTTCCCAATACTGACAGCAACAACTGAGAAAAGACAAGTATGCACGAAGCCGATAACGAATCGGGTCCACTTTCAGTAACGGGCGAGAAAAGTGTGACAGTTCAACGATGTTCAGATTAGGGGGGTTGACCTTTGGAAACATCTGCAAGTCTTTCCCAGAATCCGAGAATGTAGGGCTGACTGCAACGAGCAGACCGCATGACCTACCAACCGACTGGCCGACCTACCAACCCCCCATATTGCGGCGCAGCTGACAGGAATGCAAAAAGAAGCAACTCTCACTTCTCCAAGCCTCAGGATCCCGCGTCTTGCTAATTCCTATCCTCTGCGCCCAGCTCTTTGTTGGGACCTGGGGCAGTTAACCCCGTCATCGAGCGAGGCAGATTCAGCTCAAGTTTCAAAGCTTCAGACCAGAAGGCGCTCCATAGATGGGGGCAAGTCAACATTCGTGCCTGGGCCACTCAGCCCAGCAGTGATAGAGAGGAAGGGATTTCCATTTTGGCGCCGGACAATTGTACTGCAGGTCTTCACCATTCTTCTGTCCCATGTGCGTTGGACCATACCTGCGCTCTGCCGTGGCCACACCCAAATTCACTTTCGAGCCATGGCCTCTCGAGGAATGGCAGCGCTGCCATCCAACCACCACCCACACGGACCTGACTGCAGAAAAAACAACAGATAGCCAACATCCACAAGATCTCAAAGGGTAAGTGCTACTGCTTGCAAGCTGTGGCAAATCTGTTGCAAAGATGTGTAGCTGGCTTGCCATGATGAATCTGGCCGGCAGTATGCTCTGCACTGGACTCCGGACATTACCGCCATCCGTTCCAGGCCAGGTCATGCAAAGACATCACTTAGCGCAAGTAAGCACGTGCGGCAAGGGGCAGCCTGTAAGGGAACAGTGCCGATGAGGTTCACGGTAAAAATCGAGTCATCCAAATTAGCTTGTATCTAGATGTGGCCAATATATTTTCAACAACATCAAAATCAAAAGCATTGCATGCGTGACCTTGCCTGCAACCCACCATGCGTGACTCGGCAAACGATCTTCTTGCCATGTTGACCTTGCGATTTGCACGCTGCAGCACAACTTGGACGATCCTGGCATGGATGACCGTCACATGCAAGCTCTCAGGCAAGCTCTGCCCATGCGGTAAACGCAGCGCTTCTCCTCCCAGCGCCGCTTGAAAGCAGTGAAGCTGACTCCAGCGGCCAGCAAGACAATTCTGCCTTGACGAGGCACCAATGAGGATGCTGCGGAAAGCGCTGAAGCCTTGATAATCAGGCAAGCTCGCAGCATGCCAGCATGGGTTTGAATACCTTTACATGCAACCCAAAACCTGCGTGCCGTCCTGGGAAGACGCCGAGCATGCCGCTCGAGTCCAGGTGCATTTTCTCACCAGCAACACCCCAGTATATGGAGTGACTGGAACTTAGCAAACACACACATTACACTCAAATTACTCATTCCCTTCGGGTTCCTGCCACTTTTCTCTCCTTTTGTCTTGGATGCACCTGTGGCTGCGACTCCCGAACGATGCAAGAACCCGCAACCGTCGCCAGCAAGATTTGTGTCCTCTGTCTCTCGGCCAGGTGCTGGCAGAGTGGGTGGAATGAACTTCTCACTGACCACAGGGACGCCGCTGGCATCTTAAGGGAGTACAGTGGGCTCTGCTTTTCCGCGCGTCCTAGCTGCTATCGTGTCTGATTGGGATGAGTTTGGACGCATCTCTGGCATGATTTGGGGCTGCTGCTGCTCTTGCTGCTCTGCCGGGCAAGCACCCTGCTGAAGGCGAGCTTCTAGGTGCTGCCATGGGCCTTCCGCGCACCGATACTGACAAGGCCAGGTTGCAGGTTGTCCGGGCTTTGCCATTATGTGCCGTTCTTGTGTCCACATTTTCGGGTTTCAGATTGCCTGTGCTGTCCTTCCTTCCTGTGCTGTTTGGAGAGTCCGATCTCAAGCGTTTTGTGGTCAGCCGGGTTTTGAATGCGCTCTGTGCACTTGCGGCTGGTCCCACCAAGACTGGGGTGGCTAGGGTCTGGAGCCGTTCTCGATGTGAGACCCACCGCGCATCAGCAAGCCCAGTGTTTGCACGAAGTCTGGCAGTCATGGCGTCAGCAATTTTTTTTGCGGAATGGCTGCGCAAGCGTGAGGATGCCCAGGTCGTCCGTGAGGAGGGCCTTGAATACTCGGGCGTTCTACTCGACACATGTCGAGCCATTGCCAGGGACGTGGATGGCGGCGCGGTCACAATCCTCAGCATACGTATGCGTGTACAGCGATGCCTCCCGCAAATGGTCGGGTGCAGTTCCCAACTCCTGTTGGGATTGTGGCCCTGTTTGAGTCACAAGCTTACATCATGTGCTGTGGTTCTGTACTGGGCACGCTGCCGCGCCGCAAAGCGAGTTGGCTAGTAGATTAAGATGGGACGCATCCTTTGCCCAAGGGGGCAGACTCTGGTGTGGTTGTGGAGGATAGGCTCCTTGCTCCAGGCCAAATCCGCCACCTTGAGTGGTAGGTTGGAGAGTGCAGGGACTGCTGGCAGGACTGGCCGAGGCCGGGGGATTTGGTCAGTGCCCTCGTTTGGGTTTTCCCTTGCGCTTTCTTCTCCTCCTTGCTGTTCAACCCGTGTCAGGTTGCAGCATTCCTTCGTCAAAATGGGTGAGGATGAAAAAACATTAAAGAGGTATCCAAAAAAGAACATTCCGGATCAAGCCAAAAAAAAAATTGAGAACTTGGGCGCGCAAATACGGTAAAGAGCACCATTCAAAGGATAAGACACCATTAAAAATCAGAAAATGGTTGATAATGATGGAGCATGGAAAATCCTGATCGACCACTAAAAACACAAAAAAATGTTATCAAAATGATGAACCTGATTAGAAATTTTTAAGGTATGAAAACCATGAAAACTCGTGAAAGATGATGAGAAATCATGCAGCATGATGAACATGTTGAAACATGATGAAAACTCGTAAAAAAAAGAGTATGAAATGATGAAAAACCAAGCAAATCATGAAAAGTCATGACAAAATGGAAATGATGAAAAACAATAAGAATGTTGTGAAAATAACATTGGGGAAGTAATGGAAAGCACAAAAAATCTGAATATCACTACAGATTGATGACGTGGTGACATGATGATAACCATGAGAAAAGATGCAACATTCTGAAATTCATGAGTATTCGTTAGAAATGATGAAAATCATTGAAATGATGAAAAACGACGCCAAATCATGAACATGATTCACCTTCATGAGAAATGATGAAAAACTATGAAATGAAATCCGATGAAATATGATGAATTGATGGAAACATGAGAATAACTGCGGAAATATTGAATATGGTGAAATACCATGCAGACATGAAGATGGAACATGACGAAGCATGCCATAATCGGGATAAGTTGTGCAGGAAAGGGGAACATTACAACAAATGTTTGCGTAAATGTACTTTGCAAAAAATCAGCGAGTGCGGTTGGGAGCCGCCCATTTGCAAAACTTGGAACAAAATTACCGCATGTGTTTTCTTCCGCTTCTTTTGATCTGGCAATGTGATGCGATTCATGATAAAAAAATATGGAACTGATAATAAATGATGAAAACTGTAGAAACATGATGAAACATGATGAAAACATAAAAGGTAAGATATGATGCATGATGATGAACAATAGCGAAAACGCTAAATGACGGAAGTGATGGAAAATGCATTGAAAGATGATTACAAAGCATGCTGAAAAACGATTGAAAATGATGAAACTGTTGAAGAACGATGAAAACTGCTTGGAATTGATGAAGTTCTTGAAGAATTATGAAAACCGCGAAAGTAGTGCAAAATGAGGACAATCGTTGAACATAGATTATTGACAATGATGAAAATTGTTGAAAACACAACCGCTGAAGCATGATGAAAAGCGACGACAAAATATGAGAACTGCTGAGAAATGATGAAAATGATGAAAATGATGATAGATCACTATAAGTTTATAAGTCATGGAAATCATCGAAAACCATGAAAACTATTGAAGCCCCATCAACAGGATGTAAGATGTGATGAAAAATGAAGCCCTGCAGGAAATGATTAAACAATATGAGACATGATGACATACATGTTTCGAAAAGTGTTAATATGACGAATCATGACAACTTTATATCCTTCCTTCCTGACAGCTGTAGGGACCTCGCGCCAATGTGATGCCGCTCAACGCGAGAGCTGGATTCAGCGTTTGAACTCGACGACGCTCCACGCGGGGGCTCGATTTCAAGCCAGAATACGAGAAGGCTCCACCGCACTGCTTGATTTCGGGCCAAAATTTGAGGACTCTCCATGCGAGAGCTGATTTTCCCAAGGCAGTTCAAAGAACAAGGATTAACAAAAACACAAATAAAACCTGCTCAACGCAAGAGCTTAGTTCATTGATATAATTGTGTTTGATCATTCTTCAAGGTGTTTGATCTCTTTTTTTGATGACTGTTTGATGTGCTTTTGATCCGCCTCCCAATTAAATTCGCTGCCATCCAACTAGCCCTGCTTCAGAACATAAAGCTTGCGATTCAATCCCACCGGCCTGGCATGTGTTGTTTTCGACATGATAACCAAGATTTCACCCTCATGCAGCCAGCCATCGTATAGACCGCTTCTACTCATCAGGGCAGGGCCCGGTAATCCTGCGGTGCTGTTGTGAGCGAGCTCAGGTGCACACGGAACATCGATCCTTGCGCAGGCCGTGGGAGACCTATGATGCTGGCCCAGCCCCGTGGCATAGAAATCCGATGGATCCCTCAGAGGCAATGCTCATAACTAGACTCTGCAGCCGCTCGTCGGTCACTCTGAAAGCTGCGTCAAGAATCAATGTTCGCACACTGAATAGCGGGATTGACATGTTTACAGGGAGCGGAGAGACACGGCCCAGCCATGCCGACCAACCTCCCCCACTTCCCTATACGAGATTCATGCATGCTATTGCATGCTCAGCGAATGCTTGAAACATCACGTAACCAGCAACAAGAAAAGGAGTCGCCAGCGAATCATTAGACAGTAGGAAAGCAACGAAGGTCTCACATGTAAGCAGTGTTCTGCCAGCATAGAGTACACGCATAACTTGGCTTCCAACGCACAGCGCCACATCTCGTCCACCTCGTCTGTGTGCGGAGCGGGCTCATACCTTCAGCAACTCTCGTGGGCAGAGCCGGCTCTCAAGAAACTCTTTGAGGTTCCAGCGATGCACCCTTGTAGCTAGAGCTGCCTGATTCTCCATTTGCTTACTTTGCTCAAATCTGCACTCGAGCAAGGCCCCAGCGCGACATTCCCTTGCCACATTGAAAGGTCGCATCACTACCTTGCGTGTCGGGTATTGAGGGGCAACAGTCAACAGCATTGTCTGCCGCAGTTCCCCAGCGCATATTCTTGTTGAAGCTCCGTCAGGGTGGCCGAGAGCTGCACAGTTCTGTGCTGGATTTGCTCTGGCACCTTGGCACTCGAGCTTTCACTGCCATGTAGAGACTGCCGGGAAGCTCCAGACGGTGTCGCCCTGGACTCGGTGGGGAAGAAGCAGATTTCCTGAACAAGGCGGGCAAATCTCACGAGAAGGCTGTCCAATTCTCCAGGTCAGTGACTTTGGAGGTGACCAGGAAGCGGTCCTCGGAGGCCTCAGCTGGGAGCAAGCTTTACATTCACCAATTTTGATGATCGGTTGATGGCACACAACCTCTAACTCGGCTGATGGCTCCCGATCTATCTTGTCCTCTGGCCACGTCTCCAATTCCTGCGGGAACTCCGATGGGGGCTCTTCAACAAACGCACATTTGAATTGCCTCACTGCGAGCATGTCGGTGACAGCGAGCAAGCTCACCCCTTAGCCTCAGAGATTCAGCGGTCTCTCAATCGGTTTACAGCGGAGCAGCGACTCGGGATGCTGCCATTGCATTTCCGTGTGCGCCTATAAGACTCTGAGAAGGACATGCCAAGCACCAGCAAATTGGCAAAGCCTTGCAAAGCAGCGCTTCCGGCCTCTCTCATTTGCTGCTGTGCATGTAGCTTGCAGTTGGAAAGCTGCCTGGCCATGGTAGCCGCAACACTGTCACAGCTCTTCTGGGAAGTACAGCGAGGAGCAGCAAGGAATGCAAGGTATGCTCGACTTTGGAGATCAGCGCGTTCTGGGAGCGCTCAGCCTCCTGTCTCTGCTGCAGACCTGCCCACTTCAGGGAGAACACTCCTGTCTCTGCACAACCACGTGGCGTCTATCACTTTTTCGTCCGCAGCTGTGGCTCTCGTGGCCGTTGCGCTGGTGGGCGCCCTTCACCGGTCACCTTCAAAAGCTATGTTTCGGTAAGCTAAAAAAAATCGAAAACTCATTCGGGCGCTTGCGTCAGAAAATATCAGACAAAAGGCCTTTTGCTGGAACGGCGGCTGATCCGACGCCAGGCCGGCTGCTGCCTGATGCGGACACTCCCATGGCCCCTCCCACAAGGCGGATTTTCGTCGGCTGCCTGCGTCAAGTGATTCTCATCACAGCAAGCGCCAGTCTAATCTATTCCCAGGTCCAGAACCCTTTCCAGCAGCCTCCCAAGACCAGCAATCGCCGCCTCACAGATTGAGCAAAGCTAAGCGTAAAAAAGAACACTTTTTGCAACTCCTGAAATGCAGCGCCTTGAGCGTATCTTCATCTGGCAGCTGCACCTGCAGAGTTCTGGATACAACGCTTCTCCAGCCCTCGTCACTCATCGTCACTCCATGCCACATCGCCTCGGGTGCTGCCTGTGTTGGCTCTCGGAACAATGTCAGCTCCACAGCGCCGGAGGGAAGGATGGGCACCATGAGATAGCCTCAGAGACGATGGTCGTAAACATCTTGAGAAAAAATGCCAGAAGCCTGGTACCTTCCACAACTCGCGGCGTGCCCATTGCAATAACACGGACGCCTGCAGGCACCTCCAGAACAGAAGATGCACAGCCACAGGTTGCACCCTGCAAGCCAGACCTCTCCAACTGATCTCCAAGACTCAGGAGATTCAAACACGGGAGCATTGACATAGGCCACCAAATGAGTACCAGGCTTGACCTTCAAACAACGGTGCACCACAGCACTGCAAAATCATACTCTGCAAGCATCTACCACACTCAAACTCGTATTGGCAGCAGAAGTGCTACTGAACGTTGCACACAGGGTCAGTTTCCATCACATCCCGGATACCTTCTGCTAGATCTGCACGTGGATGACAAAATGAGGCAGGTACTGTTGTGGCCCGTGATCCCGCTTCGGTTCCTCCCATGACTCATGGTGACTCGTGAAGCCTTGCACCTGCGTGACCTGCGCATCCTTGGCTGCTGTCCATCCAGTAGGCCATTGCCTGATCCGACACTCGGCTCAACACGTAGACGCGACGCTGACTTCTCAATGGCAGGATGCGCCTCTGCACCAGGGCCCCTGACATTACAGTTTGAGCTATAGTCGCATGACGTTGCATGGAACCAACAACCAGTAGCAGTCCTTGTCAAGTCGCGTTCGGCGAACAGCTGCACGTGTGCATCATACACATCCACTCCTTGCTGGTCTTCTTTGCCTTCAGGCTCTGGACAACGCAGCGCTGCAGTGCGATTTCGTCATGCAGGAACGTCGGCGCTTTCGCGTCTTGTTGGGCTGGTACCAGCTGATGGTATTTACGAGGGAGCTCAGATGTGGTGCTTGGAAGCCAAACGTGAAGTTGGATGTTTGAGGCTTGCCAACGGGGAGCCATGCACAGAATTATCGCTTTTTTTAATGTGAGAAGCAACTGAAAAACAAGCTGACCCGTAGCCAGTGCGTTAGGCAACGCGTGTGGCCTAGCCATTGGAGCTAGTTCTCAGGAAAGCGGCTGCTCTTTAGGATACGGAACCGACCACCGTTGCTGGACAAGAGCTGGACCTGGCCACAGAAAGCTTTACCTCGTACTCTCTCACCACACCTACACACAGCCTGAAAACCAGGTCCGTATCCAGGGACGTGGTGTTCAGAATCGTTACTGATCCAACGGAAATCCTGGAAGTGCTCAGGAAACAGGCTGAAATCACACGAAGTGAAGATGGTCCTCCACAACAGCCAGCACACCTGAGGTACCCTCCTTGGGAGGATAGCACCTCACTTCCCAGAGCAAACCCATGGTACCGTTGCTTCCACTTGCACGGTTGCCCAACAAACAAGACTTGAGGCAAGCACTCTGCATAGCCAAACTGCTTGTTTGTACTAGACAGGATCCTTCGGGCCACGTCCTGAAGTTCAAGCGAGGTTGCTCGTCAGAACATGTGGCTGCGGCTTTTTTGCAAGCTTCTTAGCCGCTTTTAGGTTTTCAGGGTTTGGGATCTGGGGAGTGGCACAGAGATATACGCAGGCTTTGAAGACTTGGGTTTTGGGTTTGGTGACTCGAGTTCAGAGTCGGGCCGTTGCAGGGTCCGAAGAGTTGGGATGCTTTATGAACTGTTGGGTTAAGGATTTACAGGTTCAGGATGGAAGCTTGCATCACCTGAGGCGATTTGAGTCGTCGGATGTTGAGCCTGGGTTTGGTGTTTTTGATGCAAGGGTTTTGGGGTTTGGGCATGATTGCTGCAGCGCAGGCATCCTAAAACTATGAAGCAGCCATAGCTGCCCTTAAGCGACATGTGCCATTCGCGGGAACTGCTCAGCTTGAGGCTTAAAGGGGTCCGATAAAGTTCTAGGTTGGCATAGGTTGGTCCCGGCAAGGCGCTCGTGGCAGAGACCAGGTCCCCATTTTCGGCTCTCGGCAACCCCTTGGGTGGCTTCAGGGTCTTCGCGGTTGCTCTCAGAGACAGCGTTGGCTTTTGGCTGTTAAGCCTTTTGTTCTCAGCTTTTCGGCTGTTGGGTTGTTGGGTTCTTGGGCTGGGCATTCTAGTTTTGTGGCATTGGGGTTTGGGGGCAAAGGGCTGGGCTTTGGCCGGCACATGCCCCTGTGCAAATGTTTTGTTAAGCCCCTTTAGAGTTCGGAGGTTTCGGGGAAGTGCTTCACAACTTGAAGGTCTGCACCTAACCGCACTTTGCCCCTTCACTCCACTGGCTTGTCGTGGCAGTTGTTGTTGTTTGGCTTCCATTTTTTGAGACAAAGGCCCCCTCATTGGCAGTCGACCAAATTCATCCGACACTGTTGTCACACTTCTCATACATGAAACTGTGGTGTCTGGCTGATCCACCGCATCAAATCGCAAGCATGGCTTGCCACAGGCTAGTCTGTACCAATGAAGATGTGGGGTCTAGAGTCTAGGGTTCCACCCCGCTGACTCGCTTGCTCTGTTGCTTGCTTGCAGCCTGGCTGCCATTACCCAAAACTAGGGGGAGGGAAAGAACAAAGCACAAACTAAATGAATAACTAACCAACCAAAAATTCGGGGAAAATGTCTAGAGATAGTTTTGACGTAGAAGAGGACTGCGCGTGACCTCATCGGGGAAAACGCCTCCACCCGAAAACTGGCGCTGTCAATATTCCTCGAGAAATGTTGCATGAGCTGATCACCCGCCAACCCCACATTGTTTTTGGCATGCATGCAGGCTTGGAGCCGCTATTCGCACACAGTGGACGGGACGCCATGGCCACGAGAATTACTTCCGCCAACGTACCGTACCTGGGCCGTGGTAACTACTGAAAGCATTGGGCAGCAAAGCATATCAAAGCATCCTGCACGAGCTTGGGGAGGTGCATCGGGGATCATTGGAGCTCACAGGGTTTTTCAATCCGACTGCGACATCCCTTCTGCGTTGAAAAGCAAGCATCCATTTACACATTGCAAGATGGCGGTCAACCAGATCGTGAAAGTTGTTACATATCCACGCATGCTGCTTCGAAAATCAGGTTGGGCAAGAACGGTTATGATTCACGAATGCCAAATGCCGATACTATGCAGACTCGAAGACCCCAGGATTGCTGAGCCTCTGGCAACGTACTGCGGCTGGTACAAGCTCAGAGCTAGTTTGCCTTCGCCATTCCTGAACTCCGTGCATCATACTGGCAATCACGACCCCAATGCACGAAAAGCAGATGGATAAGTGCCAGGCATCACAGTTCGCCATGGCTGGCCCAAGCTGAAGAGTGGTAAACCATTCAGTCTGAGACTGCGTCGAGCAATGCGGGCCATGGCTGCACATGATCGACGACATACTCAACGCCGCAATGCATAGTCAAAACGTGAGATCCACTGGCCGTCTGAGTTCTATTGGTTCCACCTTCAAAATCAACAAACAACGACAGGCCTATCTTCAGCAGAGATGTGTAAGCTAGGGCTATGCCGATGTCATTTGCCGCAAACGCTTCGCTATCTCCCCTTGGATGGACAGCACGGAAAACTGGAAAGAACCTGCGACCATCCGATACGGTCAAAACCAAAATCGAGCTTGAGCATCAGCTACTTCTCTGCCCTGCTCACCGACAAGAGAACTGGGCATCCATGGCAGCTTGAGAGATGGAATTGGCAGCCTGCGAGTGCATGCGAAGATCTTTCAAGAAGGAAAGTTGTTGTGCAAGAGGCTCGACATCTCACGTTGTCATATCCTTTTCCACCCCCAGCTCCCTTCCCTCGCCCTATCAAGCATTGCTTGATGACCTGCTACAAGCGGTTTCCTGACAATGTACATCTAACACCGAACCTTGCGTTGTGCTTGTAAGCTCAAATTGGCAAAGCTGACAATTGTGGGAATGTAGCCAGGTGCTGTATGGTGGCCTGCTGTGTCCGCAATGCTGCTTCTGAAAAGTCGCCGTTCTTGATGTTCAAATGTTCCCTACACACTGCTCGGTAAAATTCAAACCAATGGTACGAACCCAAAATTAGGGACTGAATACTCTCGTTTTTGCAAATCCCCCGTGTGCACGTGAGAGCAAATGGAAGGATCAATCTTTTGATGTAATATCGGCGGTGCTGAACAGAGAGACAGAGAGAGAAAGAGAAAAAGAGAGAGAGAGCGAGCGAGAACAAGGTGGGACAAATGTCTTGCTACTCACTACGATGCGGCTGGATATGGCCCAAATGGGTAGGGGCTAGCAAGTAGCACAACATGCGAAATCAGATGCTCGTCCAAATCAACGTAGGACTCGCGCAGGAAACAAGCAAGTCGGGCATTCAGGCTGCCCTGGCCTTCATCAAGGAGCGCGCGCAAGACGTCCAACTCTGCTCGCAATCCTCTGAGCCCCACTAGCAGGAAATGCCCACGAAGCCAATGAGCTTTCTTGCGCAGCCTTCGATTTCAGAGCGCAGCGCCCCAACCTCAGCATTTGACTCTCAAACTGCCTTACAGCTCAACCTGTCACAGAAGCACTTCAGACCGATCAAACTGCATATACACCAAGAATGTAGAAACAAGGCCAGCGACGATGAAGCCTCTTCCATTCAAATTACCCACTGGCACAGGTCGAGCAAGGCAAAGATCTCAATGCCAGGGATGGTGCTGTCGCATCTCCCGCGCTTGCTGCAACGCTGCCCTCGCTAGCGTATGCTTGCCTCAGTTTTGTTCCTAGCTCAACTCTAATCAACTCTAGCTGCCTCAGAAGCTCCATGAGTTGCATCAAGAGACTGAGTACCTCCAGATGTGCCAGTGTGATCCTGCATCATGACAACTGGCAGAAGCTCTGATCAGACCCTGAATGCCTTGAACGCAGGGTAATGCAGAATGAAAGCTTCCACTGGCCTCACCGCGAGCTGCGGCCTCGCTCAATGACACGAACTGCATTCAAGCACATTCAAGCAGTTCAGCTTCACAATCTTCACAACTCTATGGGCTTTGCGCTCAATCGCAGCGATCTATTCTGAACACTAGAACGCTACACCTCACATCCACTTTTTTGCATTAGCATCCGCGAACTCAAGACTGCGCTTGCAGCCTCCGTGGATAAGCTGGCTCCAGCATGTGCTGAACCTCTGCAACAAGTCTGGGGCAATGCAAAGCCAGCAACAAGCATGACCCGCACAGAAGAGGCATGACCGCATATGACAGCCGACAGCCTGAGCTCTCGGATGAAACCTTCACCGGCAGGGTCACACCTGAAGCAGGCAACGTCCAGGCATTTGGGAATCCAGTCGCTGGGATAGCTTCGTGCTTTTCAGACCCTGTGAATGTACAAGGAGAGGATTCTTGTGCAGGAGTGAAGCATCCACTGAGTAAGACTTCGCGTATTCCGTGACGTTTTGCTCACTACTTTGCCTCTGGTGCGGCCTCAGCAACGGTGGGAGCTAGGAGCAAAAAGCTTTGTTGCCCCTGCATGTGGGAGGTTTGGATTGTGGCTGGGATCTGGGCTTTCCTACTGGAAGCCTCCTTCATCATGTGAGAGAAGACAGTCTCAAAGAGAATTTAGGATCGCGCAAGATTCAATGAAAGAAACAAGCTCAATGACAAAATGACGTGTCCAATGGATGCACATTTGTTTGAACAGCTTCAGATTTGCCATCAGCTGGTGGAAGCACCTGGCAGAGTGTACATTGCAATTTCGCAGGCAGGTTCCGCCGCTGGACATGAGGACTCCAAAGTGTTGCCATTTGCGGCTGAAGGATCTTTACAACAAATGATCTGAAGTTGGCATTAAGCTTGACTCCAGCAACAAATGACTGCTTCGACGTCATTCCCTGGCCGGACTCGGGAGTCCCAGGCGCGGACTGCAGGCCACGCTGCCAGCCCTCAAGACCTCCGAGTTCATTTCGTGTGCTGCTTGTGCAAGAAGACTGAACTCTTCTAAGTCTCAAACCTCTGCCGTCCCTGGCTGGCACGCCTGCCTGCCAACAGTCGTCTGTGTGGCCACAGACTTAGAATGCGATCAAATGCACAAAAGAAAACTATCTACCCTGTAAAAGCTTGAGCCTTCGATGCTCCAATGAAAGACTGAACTTTGGGTAACTGCAACGGATCACCTGCCTGCGTTAGTTTCCATTGATAAACGCTCTCAAATAATGCATACTTTCGGCGGGCAGAAAGAAGGAGTGAATGCAGTTAGCGACCGCATCCTAGTCCCACATGCCTTGCGAGCTGAACACGTGCTGGGGATGCCCAGAATTGGCAGTTGGAGCTGGCTGTGCAGGGTACGCTGTCGCAACCTCGTGGCAGATCACGTGCCGACAGCGCAATGAAATAGTCTCTGGATATCTCTGGGGCTGTGGCTGGGGCAGGTGTATTCGCTGCAGGGGCCCAACTAGCTGTCCTCAACTACAAGATGTGTTGGACAAATCGAATTGAAGGCACACCAGGAAGACGCAAGCAAGTGTTTTAAGGAAGCGGCGCCGACGGGGCCTTGTGGCAGAGCTATAGGACCAAAGACGTCTGGTGTTACAAGGATAAAGATTTCCAAGGAGCTCGAGCAACCACAGTGACAATCAATGATGGCTGGAATACGCCCGCATAGAAAACCACAGCCAATTTTGCAGCACTGAAAATATTATTTGTTGATGTTTCTTGGCCAGTCACGTCAAATACACAACTCATTTTACTACTCAACCTTTGGTATTTAAGGCAAAAACATGTTCAAAAGACTGTCCACAGCAGGTACAAAATATTTATTGCAACAAATTGTGTTGATGAAGGCTTGTTGGACTTGCAGGCCTCCCTTAAGCTTGGAAGGTCAAGATTAAGCAATGTAGTTTAAGCAAATGCTCTACATGCAGGCATTGCGCAATTACGTTCTCCTTTCAAGCAGCATGTCTCAGCAGCTGGTGCCCATAGTCGCCAGAATGGCAATTGGTTAAAATGCATACACAAATGCATAGCTTCTGGTCGGAGACCTGCCAGTTGTTCCCTGACAAGCAGGTCTCTCCGCGAGACACCCCCCCCATTCGTCCCGCAAGAGGATTGAGGGCGGGAAGGGTGTAAAAAAAAAAATGAAAAGTGGAAGTAGCAATGCTGGAGCCGAGGCTGCACCGCAGTAAATAGTTTCAAGCTGCATTGGGTCCTTGCCAAACCAGCCATCCTACAACGCAGAGCAGGAAATGCTCATCACCATGCAGGCATTGCATATTTGCACACTGATCTGCCGTTCTGCGTTGCAGACCCATCTTCGCAGCCTGTCTTGAAACAGTGGGTGCCTATGAGGAACAGCGCGTTCTTGCGGAGAGACTTGTTTGTCACAGAGCAACTGGCAGGTCTCCGACCAGAAGCTATGCATCTGTGTATGCCTTCGTGCCAATTGCTATTCTGGCGATTGTGAGTGATTGTGTGCACCAGCTGTTGAGACATGCTGCTCGAAGCTGAAATTGAACCGAAAAATAGCAGCATTGTGTGCAATCTCATGCACATCACCTTCCTTGCTGCCTGTGATATAGGCCAACCCCGGAAAACACTGTGAAGCGCCAACCCTCGCATGGGACGAAGACAGACGCAACTGACACCGCGAGATGCTCCTTAGAAACAGGCAGACCACGGCACGCATCAGGAAGGTCCTCTGCGCCAATGCGAAAACGGACAAATTGAGGCAGCGGCTCCTGCGGTGCTAGCACCGAGAAGACAACTGGAATGAAGTCAGTCGAACTGGCCCAGAATAAGTTTCTGCCAGGGATGCGTGAAGCTTATGGTGTGTCTTCCTGGCATTGTCGATCACCCGCTTTTTCCTTGCTGGTGAAGGACGAAGCTCTCTAAAGGTCGCCACTGTCCGACCCCGAAAATGTCATCCATCTTCGCCTTCTCTTAAGGGGACAGCAGAAGCTTTTCTAGAATCTCCGCCCGCCCACAATGCTGAAACCTCGCACGAAAAATGCAGCAAACACGCGGTCAGGCCACGCAAGCAGGGAAACCATGCAAGTTACGAACCCCGGGCTCTTGGACGCCGCGACACGTTTTGAACTTCCCGCTCTACGGACCCAATTAAGAAGATCTCGTTGGCGCTGCGCAAGGCACGGAAGCAAGTCACGCCACACGGTCAAGGCTTGGAGCGAAAGTGACGGGTCTCTCTCAGGCTAGCGCTGGGGGGAGAAAGCGCACGGCAAGCAATGGCTACTCTTAATGTGTGTTTTTTTTGCTGAGTCCCGGAGGCAAGAAAAAATCCAGGCCCTTGGTAAACACAACTGCAGGAGAAGGGCGCTCGAAAGGCGAAGGTCCGAGTTCATGTCAGTCCTCCCCCCTCCCCCTTAGCAAAGATTACACGCAACTGCATCAATGAAAGGTCACAAAATGGCAAGCGACGCTGCACATCTTGCCAAGCGGCATCACGCCGATGAAAACCGGAGAGCTGGGAGTGCATGTCTGAGACCAAGCTGGGTAAATCGCAGAACCCAGGGAATGACTTATTAGGGTCGCAAGCCGCGCCACTCACGCGAGTCTTGAGCTCACTGTCGGGCTGGGCGGGTGCGCAAGGAAACCTTGGCTCCACACAAGCTTGGCCATATGGACAGGACAGCCACGACGGTGAAGATGTGAAACCGGTTGGCCAGCGGCTATTCGGGATTTGTTTGCGAAACACAGGCCTGCTTCTCCCGAGCACACAACTGGGATGTTGGCACATCAAGCATCAAGCGCCCGTTCCTCTGGCTGTAGTTGCCTCCACCAAAAAAACCCTCAAAGTAAGCACTGAGAGGAAAGCATCGGCTGTCACTGAGGAACCGACCCATCACTGCAGACGGCTCAGATAGGATTCCCTGGCAAATGTAAAGAAAGGCGCAGCTTCACATCGCACGACGGCGAGAGGACTGCAGCCTTGTCGGTACACAGACTTGGGAGGGGGCTTGGATCAACAAAGCGCGACTCAGGAAATGAACCCGAATCGGTCACCCATGCCCAGTTGCGCCGCGGCTCGGAAGTGGATGGGGCCAACGCTTGAGTACGCGAGCGAGTACATCCAGCACCAAACGGCCTGGACATCGGAGCGAATGGGCTGACAGCCCGCCCAAGATGATAATTGTTGCAGGCCTCAGGTTGCACGCCAGCAATGTTCTTAAGAAACGCACACACCTCCAAGCCTTCACACGCCGGGTTGTTCCTTCAACCCCCGGACTATGCAACGCAGGTGGGAGGGCTGATCTGCACGTTCATCCATCAAGCCTTTGCGGTTGCAACTGAAGCTAGTACGCGGCCAATCCAAATCCCCCTGACAGTACGAGGCTGCAGAATGAGGACATCAACGCACACGCCCCCCACGTGATGGATGTGAACGATTCCGCGCACACTCTGCGACGCACAGCGGCGCGCCTGCTCATTGGATTCGGCCGCCACGCCGTAGAAAGACACGCCCGCCCAGGCGCAGCAAAGCAACGCAGAGCCCGTTGATGCCACACCACAGCACAGGACGAACCAGGAACCTTTCAAGGGGGGATGTTTGGCATGTCGGAGTGGCTGGCCACGCCGCGTTCAATTGCTGCTTGCATGTCTGACGGGGCAGTCTCGGGCTCAGGACTACTGTGGAACCCAAGAGGGTCGGGCACCAGGGAAACCTTGCAAGCTGCGCGCGACGCGCCGACGCGTCGTTCACCTGAGCAGCAGTAGAGACCACGGCAGCGGCGCATGCCATTGTCGGTGTGTCTCCAAGAGCGCGTTTGTCATGGCAGCGCAAGCATTGTCACCAGGCGAAACAAGCTTGCCATCTTGCCATGTGTCAAGTTATCATTCTTCTCGCACCAAGCCACACTGCCGGTACCATATTTCAAACAATTTCGCGGCCTCACGTCAGCATAGTTCAGGCAGTCGCTGTCCTTGGCCATGAAGTTTCTGAGGCTGACTTGGATGACGCTTTGCCCAGAGCCGCACCTCCAGACCTTACAGCTTGATTGGAAGCACGCGCACGGGTTCGTCTTTGAAGCTCACTTGGAGCCGGCTGACAGCCTCAGAGGCAGGGTCGACCGCGAATTCAAAAACAGGACTCTGTCCGCGCTGAACGCTGTAGGTCAAGACGGCGGCGACTCAATCCATGCCACCCAAAAAAAGACCACCTGGCTCCTCTGAGCGGCAAACCTGGAGGACATTGCGCTCTGTCCAGCACGTCTTGAGTCCTTTGTCATCCGCCTAAAGGTCAATTTTGTTGACAGCCACCACGCTATCGGGCGCATGTTACAGGCAGGCAAAACTTGATTCGGGGCGCAACACATACACCTGGGAGGAGTTGCGCAGGATACCTCAGCATGCAAATGATAAGCAGCACACGTAGTCACGCGTGGCTCCCTTGTTTGACTTGCAGTGGTCCCTTGCTGGCCATCCACTGGCACACTGGGGCATTGGCGGTTTCAAATCTGTAGCCGCGACTAGGCCTACGCAGGAAGTTGTCGGCGACGGCGAAACTCTCTCTCCGCAACACGAGTCTCCACATCACTGAGGCCAGCTGCCCGCTGCAACATGGAAAGCAACGCCATATCCATGACATGATGACATGCAATCGGGCTACCTCAAGGACGGGTGCTTGGGCGCTACAAGCTGCGCTAACATAATCTCTCAAGAACCTCTCAGGCAGGCAGCACGCGATAGCAAGAGCACTCTGAAGCGAGATGAGGCTGCTGGCTAGAGTTCTACACACACGAGGCGCAAGTCGGCACCCGGTGGCAAGAAGTTGGACAGGTAACATCATCGACGCGCACGTGTCCATGTCTGCGAACATCACGCACGTGGCCAGGACTGACACACATCGCGCTCTGTGGATAAATCTGCAGCGGGGGCTGCAAGGCGCCGAACGCGGGTTGGTTTTTCCCTTCCCGTGAGTGGCGCGTTACAGGCCTCTTGCCTCAAGAAGGCGTGATAAAAGCAGCTTCGGCACAGTCCGGCAGCAGCGCTGACAGACAGCGCCCTTCAGCAGCGGCAGCTTCTGACCCGACCTAGTTGGGTTTCGTGGAAAAGCTGCTCTAAGGCAGTAAGGCACAGGGCGCTCAGAGTTAGGATTCGTCGCCTGCGTCATCCAGAGGCAGCACAATCTCCCCAGACTCCGAGCCAGGTGAAGAACCCGAAGTGATAGATGGTGGGCTCTGCTGCTCTGTACACCGCTGCAACGACGCTTGCAACTGCGACGGCCCGGGGGGCGATGTGCACACTGGACGACGGCTGAGAAAACCTCTCTTTGGCTTCCAAGCTGTTCATGAACTTTTTGCCTGCGTAATGTGTGGACATTAATTTAGCACGTTTGGCATTGCTGGCTGATTGCACAGGTTCTATCCAAGACCCTATGACTTCCAGGCCCACCTCATCAAGACCTAGGGTTGTACCTCCTGTGGGCAGGAACCTGCCCACGCGACCGCAGCCAATCTGCGCAATCTTCTCTGGCAAGAGACCACAATGCATCAACAGCTTTCAAGAATCTGGAGGGGCTGAACTGATGGCCCACTTGAAGCAGCGTATGCGCCACTACCTGCCACAAGTCGTCAGCCGCAAGGCTTGGTGGAGGCCACAAGTACTTCGCGCACGCCTTCCTTTCGTTGTCCTAGCACAAACGGCCAGATCTCGTCCAACAAGTCAAACCCTGCAAAAAAACATTAGGCAACGCCCGGCTGTAGGGAAGATTTGCACGCAGCCTGCGAAACATCTGCCACAAAGATGAAGCCGCTGCGGGATGAAGCCGCTGCTGGGCCTCCCACCTCCCACGCGAAATTTTCGGAGGAATTCCGCCAAGCCTCTTCAAACCCACTGTAATGGTCCCCGCGTGGCCCTCCGACATGCGGAAGGCGCAGCCGCCCACACCTTGGCAGTGCCACGAAGGCCCAAATCATGGAGGTCAATTTCAATTAGGGTCCAAGACGCGATGGTACAGCATCATGGACAGCGCCAGGCAAAACGCGCTGCACTGGTTCGAGTCTGGGCAAGCATTCGCGAGGCGCCAGTATGCTGCGTCGGCAGAGCGGGACCGCACGCGAGGCCGTAGCCACACTGAAAACGGCGGCTGCAGTAGGATACAAGCTGGCATGCTCCCCCAAAAGCACGGCGACGCGAAGCACGCTCACGAAGAGCTCTGAGTTGTCCGCCCACATGTACGACACGTCCATCCTGCTCTGACAACCTGACCTCAATGGCCTAGCATAACAGAAAGTACAGCGTCGCACTACAGTGGAAAACCTAAGACTCTGCTGAGGCGCATGACTGGATTCGCGATCCTGCACAGGTAAAGAGGCCCACCGACCCAAGAAGCTATTCATAAGAACAGCAGCCCGGCCCGGCGGCCCTGGTCCTGGGGGGGCGCGTGCTTCGACACCTGTTTCATCCAACGCACGAACCTTTGTGAATCTGGTCACTGGTCCCATTCCTTTTCGGGAAGTGACTCAGGTGGATCCGCGGGCCCACGCCTTCATAGTTAATGTTGGCACAACGTCGCCTGAAACACCCGACAAACACGTGGCATCATGAGCTGCACTCCTCGGAGGCGCGTGGACCCAACAGATTAGGGTTTATCAGCGGATCCGTCCGGAGGAAACAAACGTCATGGTCCTGAATGAATTCCAGCCTTTGATCAACCACCAGCTGCGGAAGAAATCCAACCCTACGCAGGAACGCCGGAAGAAGTTCCAAATAACCTAACGTGTGTGTTGGACTTCCCTTGAGCTTTGATGAAAGGTACCACCACGACTTGAAGGATGATTTGGAAGTGGAACTGGCATAGCAGCTTTCTGAAACCTATCTGGACATTCTGGCTTTTCGTTTGGAAGCGACTGATAAATTTCAAAACCGAATCAACCCATCGGAGCACCTCTGAGGCGCACTGCCTTCTTTCCAAGAGGCCTGCTACTTCATCACGGGCCACCCAGCTTGCTCAGGCAAGATTGCTCCAGCCTCTGCTTTGTGTCCTGCTGTTGCTCCAAATGGTGACGACAGTGATGTAAATGCAGTGATCAAGCTCACCGACCTTGAGTGGTCTGCTGATGGCGGCCGTTGCATTCAATCCCAACCGCGCTAACTTGCACGGCGGTTCGTGGGCATTGTGTTTATTTGGTATATCAAAATTGAAGCTGGGGTGTCTGGGTTGCCGCGGCGCGTGACATGTTTCTGCCCAAACCTCTCCAACCATCCAGAGCGAACCTGGCAGCTTTATACCGCAAATTTCTGTTTTAATGTGCGACGCGGGTAACCCAGTACCTGCCTGAAAAGAGGTGCCGAGGGTGAAGGGCTGACAGCCTTCAAACTGGAGGCTGGGCGCAACCTCTACCGCCCCATGGCATACTGTAATGAAAATGGCCATGCCAAGTGAAACTTGCTTTTGAACGTCCATAAAGCACGCGCGTGCGCAAAATAGGCAAATTCTATCAGGCGAAGACCATTAGGCAGACGACCTTGCAAGTTACATATAGCACATGATACAGACGGCCACTGTGAGGTTTCCGAACGAAGCTTCTGCATCTGGAAATCTATGCTTTGCTGTAAATGTTGATCTTTAGCTTTTGGTGATCCTTGTCAAATATTACTGATTTCCTCCCTTCACATGCATCTAGACCGGCAGTGGCTCCTTTTGCTGGGAAACAGAAAGGTGGCGCATCAGCAAGACACTGGCAAAAGATCAAGACACAACTGCTGCTGTGACAGCAGCTAACACGAGCAAAGCTACACAAGGCTAAGAAATACAACCCTATGCACCCCTGCACAACGACGCTGCGAACAAAGGCACATGCAGGAGAGGGAGAGTGGCGGGCATTGCCGAACCCAAGCAACCACTGCTCCACCTGGTCCTATCATGTTTTCATCTAAATGCCAGCACCAGCAGCAGCACTACCACCACTACATAATTATACAAATTATGCAACATTACTAATAGTCGGATAGAGCAGCACCTGAAGCTCAAGTTGGCCGCCAGCACCAAGAACACCGCCCCAAAGACCGCTCGATCCCCAGCTGAAAGACTTTGCCTTACGAGCCTGGAGGGCCTCTTGTTCTGGTTGTGATCATCTCGATAGTGCTGCTACTGCTGACACCGCTCCACGAGGCTGTGGAGCTGTCCCTTACGGTTTCTTTGGTACCGGCTTTTGGTCGCTGAGGCTTCAAACACGCATACCTGGTGCAGCGGAAGGCTGGATCACACTGGACCTCATTACACCGTATGACGCGGCTTACATCCACAACGAATGTACTGCACACTGAAACAGGACCCACTGCTTCCAACATTGGGTCATCTTGAATCTTACAAAATGCACCGCAAAACCAAGTTGCAAAGGGCAGCAAACATTAAGGCTCCTCAGCCAGGGGTATGCAATGCCTGTAGAGACACATGATCCGCTGAACAAACTCGAGCAATGTATGCAGGTGATAACACAGCTGAGCAGGCTGAGTGCCCAACTGCTACTGAAGCCGTCGCCACCCTCCTGGATCCATGCAGGCACGTCCAATATCGCACGTGGTGCTGCTTAGGGGTTTCAGGAATCGGGGAAGCGAAAACGAGCAGAAGTTAACACGGGCTAAGGACCTCCTGTCTTCATGTTACAAAGTTGGCCCTGACAGTCACCATGCCGACCAATGTGAGGCAGGGAAATTTGTAGCAGCTAGGCAAAACTATAAACGATTCTTTTTTCATTAGGGACCCCCTCTGGATACATGTCAGCATTTCATGACAGCAAGAGCTAGCAACGAAAGCTTGAGGATTTTCCAGTTGCATCCATGATGCCCTTGAAAAATAGAAACACAGCACATAAAGATGGATGCCAAGTTAACTCAGCAATCTGTAAATCCGAATATCCTACCCATCCTTGGTGGCTGTAATGCTGGGCTCGATGGCGCTGCGCTGCACATCGGCGCCCCGAGTCCTAACAGCTGGCAAACATACCACATAGCCGTAACAATCAGCAACTGTGCTGCCAAAACTGTCTGCTTCACTGGCTTCAAGTTCCATGCGCTGCCCGAAGCAAAGAACAGTACAACGTTTTGCATGAAGCTTGAGAAATTAGGATGCTCCTTGGATCTATGCATGGACATGTCTTTGCTGTAACTGCACATCGTCACAGAAACCGCCCAAAGCCCGCAGCAACCGCTGGATTGGGCTGTATCAGACCCTATGGGTCTTGGAGCAACTCCAAATTACATGCTGAAGCGGCAGCGATGAGCCGGCAGTTTCGCAACAGAACCCCAAACACCGCATCAGGCAAACTTGCATCTGCAGCCGTTGGATTCTATTGCTGCAGTCCGTCTTGCAAATGCCTATGCCTACATGATCAGACAGGATGCATGCATCCAAACATGGGCCTCGTGTGAGGCTCACGGTCCGTTGTGCATCATACCACATGGAACCATGCGCAAGTCATCGCAAGTCGCGGGAACTCCTTCAACTCGGCTTGCACCCCGCACCACCTGCGACATGTGCGGCACCGCGACCTCAGACAAAGCACTAAGTGACTGCATCTCCCGGCCGGGCACAGGAAGCGTTCATTGGACACTCCAGGCCCCGAGCTGGAGGAATGCACAGCGCCTGCATGCAGAGCCTACACCTAGCACATGCCTAGCGCACCTACACCTGCAGACAGACAGGCAAACGGGCCATAACGGGCCTGAGCAGCTTTTGTTTGTCTCTGCCTCACGCGTTGCATACTGCAAGGATTTGGGGTCACCTGTTCGTTGGGCGCGGGCATCAAGCGAGGCGATGCTGGTGATACCTGATTTTATAGCACGTTATACGCTTTGTTGCAACTCATTCGTTATGCCACTATGCCTGGAAGGCACAGCCCGTCCCCGGCGGCCAAGCCTTACCACGGCTTTTGTGTGATGACACCGTGTTTCCTGGCCATGCAACATGCAAGGAAGGGACAGGAGCTGCCGCAGGCGCCCCGCTCGGCCACAGGCAAGGGGCTGCCTTGCACTGAGCCCACGGTAGCACAGGAGCGCTCATCAGCAACATTCTTAGGGCAAGACCATTGCGGAAACGACCTCAGACTTCCACGTGCAAAAGACAACATCTGCCCACCAACCTGCAAGAACTGGACATCTTGGTGTGAACGTTGAGTGGCTGACAGACATCCCATGCTACATCTGCAGTTAGCCATGCCAAACAGCTTGCGAGTGCCAGCGACGTGTCTGTTGGCTTCCAACCTACTAAACTTACAACTGATGCACCATAATGTTTTGTCCCGATTAGTGTGGGGAGCCTTACTTGTGCGAAGCTTCGCCGAAATTATTCAGCACCCCCCAGGTTCGTTTGGGGGGCCTTAATTGTGCGACCCCTTGTCCAGAGCTTCCAGAACCTCAAACCTCCAGATTTTGAGGACCTCAAAACTCCGAAATTTAAGGTTCTAAGCCAGGTCTAAAATCATCGATTTCTTATGAGACCGCTTATTCGAGGAGGCCTAGCAATCATTTTTCCTAAGGAGTAATCCATCACTTGCGCAGATCCTCATTTATACGAATGTTTTGGGGGGTCTCAATTAGCCGTCGAATCGGGGGACCCTAAAAATAGCAAAAAGCAAAAACCTTTTACTTTTGAAGGCTCAGCATTTAAAAGCAAATCTTCCCGGACCTCGAGTTTCCGGAATTTCAAACCTCATAACTCAGGATATTAAGGTTCGATGCCAGCTCCAAAATTATAGAGTTCTTATGAGTCCGCCTCTCCAAGGAGGCCTAGCAATCATTTTTCCTAAGGGGCAGTCCAGCAGCTGCCCAGGTCCTCAATAATACGAATGTTCTGGGGGGGCTTCAATTATCCGTCAAATCCGAGCATGTAAAGCCAAGCTTCCAGGACCTCAACTTTCTCCGCATTTTAAGGTTCCAAGCCAGGTCCAAAACTATACCCCCTTCCCCCCCCCTATGGTCAGCAAAAATTCGGGAGTAGAGGCGAATTGCACTTGAAGCGCAGCCCTGCTCCTTGAGGCCGGTTCAAAGGCTGCGGCTCTCGAAGCCTCACTAGAGGCTTACATACCATGACCCATTCGTGTGCTCTGCGCCCCGCCGCCCAAGCGTGCGATAGCGTTTATAGTTTAAACCTAGGATCCGAGCCGGTCCTGATCCATCCTATTGAATCTAATTTAAAGCTAGGATCCGAGCCGACCCTGACCCTGATCCCTCCTGTTGAGTTGAATCTAAACATAGGATCCGAGTCGATCCTGATCCCTACTATTGAATTGTTGTTAAAACCTAGGATCCAGACTTGGCTGATCCTCCTATTGAATTTTAAACAAAACCGAAAAACCATGGATTGTGGGGGGGTGTACCCCCCCCCCACTAAATAGGCTCCCATTTTTGTTTGAGTGGGTAGCCCTACACTAATCGGGACCCGGCATGAACTATTGCACCATGAGCGTCCACATCAGAGTGCAGGTACAGAGCAGACAATGTGCTTTTTTGTCCGCCCGCCCAACTCTTTCAGGGGCACTGCGCCTCAACTCATGAGTCTCAATCGGCAAAGACCTGCCACGGCTGCATGCAGCTGCTGCATCATGCTGAGGATCACCTGCCTTGAGCACGAAGGTGACGAGAGCACAGATGCCCATGGAGAGGGCAGACAAGCTCTCACCAGGCATGGACAGGATCCTTGCATGCAGAACACATACAGTCAACTAGCACTTCTGTCATTCAGAAACAGAAACACTCCCGATCCTTCAGTTTGCATAGCTTCGACAGCTTTGCCAAGAAAGCCAAACGGGCATTGGCACGTGAAGCAAATTGCCCAAAAGATGATTTGCTCGCAAAATTCAGACACGCGATCCAGTCTACCTCAAGTTCAGCTTTGGCACCCAAGCGCCAGGGCCACGCTGAACCTATCAAGATAACATCGCAATTCTGGCTTGGCCACTGGCCACCAACCATCAACCCCAGAGTTGCGAGTCTGCCATGTGTTCAGCCAGTGTACATCATCATCGATTTTGCGGTCTCCTCATCTTGGTCACCTGCAGGCGAGGAGCATTCCACCAAAACCATGCTCCAGGGCTCTGGCTTCCCCTTGCGCAGCCAGATAATCCTAAATTATGGCTCTTTGCCCAGACTGCATTCTGTAAGCTGAACATGAGCAAAGTAGCGAAGCAAATGAGGGCGACGTATGCGAACGCATAGCCACAGAGACTGCGGCAGCACGAAAATTGTTCCGGCCACGCCATAGCACCTTCAAGGTTCCAGACTTAGTCATTTTGTAGATGAACAACTGCTTCTGCACACTGCGCTGCCCGTTTGCACCCGCAGATCCAGCCGAAAACCAGAGCCAGAATGTGTGCTCCCAGGACAAGGACATTGTAGTAGACCAGAGATGCCTCTCAGCTCTGCAGATCCGGCATGATGCTACACGGCTACACGGGTTTCAGCAGTTTTCACGCAAAAGGCTCAGCGGCCGTTTCTTCTCACTCAGCACAGTGCTGCAAACAGCCAAAGCTGCATCTTTCTTTTCTGCGCCTTCGGCCCGAGCAGGATGGCAACTGTTCTGGCACCTGCACAATCAGACTAATCAGCACCTTGCCTGTTTTTGCATGTGGGCATTCGAGCTAAGTTTGCGAGAAGTCTGGTATATCATGCTACTGGATGCAGCATACTGGTCTGGTGCGCTTTTTGGTCTGAGGTTCGGAGTCTGGAAGCACGCCTGCTTCGCAGGCTTGGCGGTATGAGTATCAAAGGGGCATTCAAGGGCCATAAAGTGCTGAAATAAAGCGTCGATAAGCGCAAGCGGTGCACTGGAAAAGCTGAGGAAGTAGCTTTCAAGCCTCCGCCTTGAACGGCTCTCACATGTCGAGAATGGCTACAAGCAATACAATAGCGACACATAAAAAAATCGTGGACACATATCTGTCCAAGGCTTGGAGGTGTGAAGAGGAGCTCCTCACAGCAGGGCACGCTCTGCATTGTCATCACTAAGCGAATACACCAGCCAACAAAAGTAGCCGCGTAGCTGGGATTTCCCATGCACTACTTGCGTCAGTCAGTTCTGCGACAGCCAAGCCAGTGACATAGCACAGGAGATGTCAGCCAGCTCGACACATACAAGCTCTCGATACGCTAAAAAGAGTTCTCACAATAGCGTCACCAGGCCTGAGTAGGCCTAAGCGCATTCAGCTGACGCGCTAGCATGGTCATCCTAAACATGAACAAGCACATCAAAAAGATGCAGTAGCACGTCTAGAGTCTAGAGTCTAGAAGATTCAATCGCCGACTGCACACCCAACAGTGAGACATGAGGCAGTCTAAGTGACACAAGCTTTTCTTGCAGACAAGAACAAAACCAACTCATGAAAGCTGATGCTGCGAGCACTTCCACACTGCGGTAGTTAGCAGGCTGTTCATGCAGAGTCCATCTTGCTTGTGAAAGCAGGCGCGGCCAAGCGTCCCAGACATCGTCTTATACCAAGATGGCGGAGCTAGTCCTTTGGGGGCTTGAACATCAGTGCAGCCCCAAAGATGCAAAGAGACGGGTAAAGATTTCGCACCATTCGCACCCTGTCCTCCTCGAATACCACGGTAAGGGTTGCGCCTTTTATCATCGATGTAGTCCCGCCAATTGGCAAGTGATGCAGAGCCATTCCTGGCCACACTACCACCAAAGTATGATGGAACCGGGCTTCAGCCAGCCAGGCACACATGCTCATCCTGCAATGTTTCCAAAAGACTTAATGAATCAAACCTTGTTCATTACAGCACTCGCTCTTTACGACATTCAGCCCATGCAAGCGGACATACTACGTCTCAAAAAACTTGCCTTCTGAAGTTCTTACTCAAGAACATGCACAACCAAGTTGCAAGTTCTCTCCGGATGGCACCTGAATGTGCACGGCAGCACGCTGCACAGGAACTTGCTAATCAAGTACAGAAAAAACATTCACAGGAATTGCAATTTGTTGCGTTGCCAATTGGCAGGAGGCCGAGGGTGCAGTGCACTCGGGCGAATGAGCGCCAGGGTCTCTTCACGGCTAGGCCTCGTGCTTGCGAGAACGTACTGATCGAATTCAGCCACTTCATCCCACATTGCCAGGAACCCTGCAGTCGGCGAAGATCCGGGCAACTTGCCTGAGCCAGCTTGCCATCACTGGAGCCACCAAGAGGTTGTGAAAGAATCGATTCGGGCCGACCATGATGCTTCCACAAACCGGAACAACCGCAAACTACCACGTTTCACGTTGTTGCACTTCTCTTTCGGAAAGCGAACACGGGTCAAGGCGTTTCTGCCTTGAAAATGTATTTGACCGGGCCACTGCAGGCAGAAAACGAAAGCAAAAAGAGCTCTGACAACAAAACAACTAATCAGGTCCACTCTACTTAGAGGTAAATGGAAGCAGCCACGCATGCCGGCTTGCAAAACCGTCATGTGCATGATGCCTTTCTCAGAAACTTGCCCAAAAGCGTTAATTGCCTGCGGCCGTGGAAAACCTTAAGCCCTGGCTGAAAAACGACTCGTGACTGGCATAGGTCTTGGCCAGTTACAAGCCTACTTTCGGCTGGGGAGCCCAATTACGAAGCTATCCGCCGACCCCGCTGAGGGCGTGGCGCCTGGTGAAGTTTCCCTCCTTGTTTTCCCGCTCACTTTTCTGATGTTCCCACCCCCTGTCTGCAAAAAACGGACAGCTTCCCCCCTTCTCCCACCTAAGGATGTGGAATGAAACTGATTCCGGGGACACCTGCATCGAGACAGGTGGAATAGTTCTTTTTTTACCCGTTCAGCTGCATTGCTGCTAGCGGGCATGACCGCGATGAAGCTTCTGCGTGCTTGTCTCGTTCTCGGGATTTGCCTTCCGTGCAGCGCAAACTCGTCTTACACACAGTTTGCAAAACGATGCTGGCGTGCTCCATCTAAAAACACGACGCTTCAGCGCTATCCGCTATCACCATGTACAAGGTCTCACTTTTGGGGACAGAGCCGGATTGTGGAGCCCAGGGCTCGCGAATGATGAAAAGACCAAAACTGCAGATGCAACAAGTCTGGCTTGGTTTGCTGCCATGTGTGCCAGGCACGCTCCTCGACTGAAGCAGGGTGCACCACCCTAGCCTGCAACCGCAGCCACGGCCCTGTTTCCTCGCGAGAGCCCAAACCCTGCGGATCAGCTCCATGCACGAACACACCTGCCAGCAGAATCTCACGCATCACTCGGTCCTGACATTTCAACATTAGTACAACTACTCGTGAGATTCCGAAGCAGAACGTCCTCTTGTGTCTGGCTCCTTGCTTTCGAGAAACGACGGAAGCTTGTTCTCTACACTAAACTGCTGAAGGACTCCAAGGAAGTTAGTGACTCTGGTGGCCAACTGCTTCTGAAGAGTACTCTTGTGGATCTTTCGGCCGGCGGTGAAGCTCTCGTCGTGGACGATGCTCCACCTCTGCTTGTTCACAAAGAAGTTCAGCAGGCCCTTCTTGTTGCCAGCCTTGGTGAGGCCATCTGCCAGCTGGCTAAGCAGTTGACCCAACGAAGCTGTGTGCCCAACTGGACTGCTTGCTGCACAGCGATGGTAAATTCATAGCCTGCCCTTGACGACCGAAGGCCGTGCAACGAAGACAGATTGCGCATCATTGCATCGCAGACTCCACGCGAATCCATCACAAGGCCTCCCTTGGTCTCGCACGCCAGATCTTCACTTAGCCAACCTCGAACTACTTGGCCTCCATGGACCTCAAACAACATGGCTCGAAGCAAGAACACGACGTCCTCACCGACAGCGATGGCCTGCACTTCGCTGCCATTGCTGCCCAAGATTTCTCGAGGTGCCTTCGTGGATCGCCAAGCTGCCAGAGCAACATGCTCCTCACTGCCTTCAAGAATCTCCTTGAAGGCAAAGCCAGCCACGTAGCCAATGGTGCTTGAGCCGTTTGGACGGTTCGATTGTGAGGCGTCAGCCCACACCATTGTAGCGATGTCTTTCCAGGAACGCCCCATGTTGGAAATCAGAGTCCTTGCCCGGCCTCTCTCTTCACCTCGCGGGATAGTTTATTGTTTATTGACCCTGACATGGTCCCAACTATTGCGCGAAGGACCTCTGATAAGAACAACGACACCTCGGCTTGATGACGGGGAGCTATCCACGAGAGTGTACCCAGCGCCGCTCCCAAAGACGAGATTTCTGAGGCGGAACTGTTCTCCTGAGAGGCCCGCTTGTTCTCCAGAGGGAGCTCCTGCAGCCACTGCGCGACGTAGTCCTGCTGCTCAAGGTAGACGCCGTCCTCAATCTGTCTGCGACGACAACCTGAGAACTCGAGAGAGCCGGACTTCCGTTTATCGAAGCGAAATCGCTTCTGAAGGCTTTCCTTGGCCAAATGGTACTGCTCATGTCATTCTGGGAGTTGCCTGCGATGAGGAAATCATCTACGTGAATTCCGGCCAGAGCTATCAAACCCCGCAATGTAGATCAAACAAACACTTGTCCGCCTTGGTCTGGGCCCCGGCCATCTTCGATCAAGGCCTTCGCAACACTCTCGCGCCACTGCCTAGGAGCAGGCACCAAGCCGTAGAAGGCTTTTTGTCACCTTCAACAGTCTCCACGCCGGGCGTTGCTCCCCAAGGCTGCCAGGGGGGCCCAAACGTACCTGCTCAAGGTGGCCGACAGTCTGGAGCAAGGCAGACGTCACGTCTCCGCTCTGCAAGATGAAGCCAAGGTTCGCCGCATGTGAGGACGTGTCACCCAACCCTGGAAAGAGTCGGGAAAGCTGTTTGCACCTGTGTCAAGTTGTGAGCTTGGTAGCCCGGACTACCAGTCTTGCCTTGGCCTTTCCGGTGCACTTGTAGCACTTGTACGTGAACACCCAACACATGGCACTGACCTTGCGCTAGTCAAGGCCCTCCAGCTCAGCCAAGGTTATAGACCACGCACTGCTGCAGAGGTGAACACATTTGACAGCTCCGCCTGGGCCTCGTCGAACTCCTCCTCCTGGTTCTGGGAGAGTTTCGTCCAAGTCACCTCCTTGCTCTTTTCGACCATCTTGTGGGAGAGCCAGATTCCAGCTTTCTTTGGCTTTCAGGAGAAGTCCTTCTCCTTCAGCTCGATTTCAGCTCGATTTCACAGCAGGACCGGGCCCCGGCGCTCGATCCATGTGGTCTCCAGTTTAGCCCATCTGGCCCGATCACACGCCACCACCAATCAGTCCTTTCCAGCCGCCTCCTCAAACTCTCTCTGGACGCATATGAGTCGAGGAAAGTGTCGTCGACCATGCCTTCTCCGTGTGACTAGCCCTTGTTGACGCCTCCACCAGCTAAGTGGCCGAAACCATGTCAGCAGGCCGTCTGCGCCTGGGTTTTCAGAGACTCCGTTCCTCACTCGATGTCCGGCGCACCGCCACTCTAGATGCAGTTGAGTTGTAGACCACCGCTCCCTGCCAAGGAAAACAATAGTTGGCGTGCTCCCCTAAAGGCCCGCTGGCAAAAGTCGACAAATGCCTCACCCTCACCTCGACGCCAGCCCATCATACTTATAATGAATTCGAGCTGAAGCTGGTTGAGCGACTTCAGCCCCGCCA